ATTGGATGATGCTTGTTGATACTCAGTGTATGATGAATCAATTCTTCGTCTGTCGAGTCTGCAATATCTTCGGAATTTGGCCAACAGCATTCTTGTTTTTGTAAAAACGTTGGTCCCTTGAACCACCGAGACGTCGGATCAATTTTCGGGACTTTTTTCCATCTTGTAGCATCATCTGCCACATTTGTCTTACTAGGGACATAATGCCAATCGGATAATGATGACAACTCCAATATTTCGGTGACTCTAAACCCAACAAACTGGTGGTATTTTCGGTGGTCTGACTTAATCCAACTAAGAACTGTTTTAGAGTCGGACCAGTAAAACATCTTAGTTATTGTGATATTATGGTTTTTTAATATATAGGATGCAAAACGAGCACCAATAAGCGCCGCCATAAGTTCCAACCTGGGCACAGATGTTAATTTAATTGGTGCTACTTTGGTTTTAGATCCTATAAGCGAAATCACTATAGTGTCATCTTTCCTTATTCTATAGTAGCATATAGCAGCATAGCCTTCTCTGCTTGCATCCACGAAGGTGTGCAATTGCACTTCAGCTTCATTATAATTTGGAAATTGCTGCAAATAACATCGAGGTATTTCGATTGTTTGAAGATCTGACAATACACGAGTCCATTGTATCCATTTGGCCAGTAGTTGTTCCGAAATTTTTGTATCCCAACCTATCTTTGTTCTCCATATTTCCTGCAGTAGTATTTTCACGTACATAATAACGTATCCAATTAAACCGAGTGGGTCATATATAGACATAACTACTCTAAGTATTTCGCGTTTCGTCGGTATTTTACCACAAGAAAAAATATCACTCTCCTTTAGCCAGTCAGAAATCCTGAAAGTTATTATGTCCCGCTCATGGTCCCAGAAAATTCCCAATACCTTTTCATTTTTCACTTGTTCCTCTAAATTTAAACATTTTATTGGGTTACCATCCAAGCAAGGTAGTGATTCCATTACAGTTTTGTTATTCGTTACCCAATTTCGTATATTAAACCCTGCTTGTTTATGTATATGTGTTACATCTTTCACAAGAGAAATGGCTTCATCAGGTGTATCCACTGAAATAAGTAAATCATCCACATAATGGTTATATTTTATACATTTTGTAGCATTGGGAAATTCATGTTCGTACTGCGTCGCATTCAAGTTTTTTATATATTGTGATAAACAAGGTGCGCAAGTGGCTCCGAATATCATCACTTTCATTATGTAAATATCAGGTTTGCGGCTCTGATCGCCGTCCCGCCAAAGAAATCTCTGAGCATTGCGATCTTCAGGTCTAATTACCACTTGATGAAACATCTCCTCTATATCGCCACAAATTGCTACAGCCTTTTCCCGAAAACACAAAAGAATGGTTGTTAAAGATGCCAGCATGTCTGGTCCCTTTAAAAGAAATGAGTTAAGAGACAATCCATCAACTTTAGCAGCAGCATCCCAAACAATTCGCGATTTACCCGGTTTATTCCTATTGAAGACGGGAAAAATGGGAAGATACCACACCTTTCCATTGGAAAGGTTTTCATTGCGACAATCAAGTTTCTGAATGTAACCTTTAGATAAGTATTGCTGAATTTTCGTTTTAAAAATAGTTTCAAGTTCCGGTATTTTTGTCAACTTGCGTTCTAAGCATATCAACCGTCTCAAACACATATCATAACTGTTGGGCAATTCAAAAACGTCGAACTTCCACAATAAAGGTACCTCGTAGTGTCCACTTTCAATTTTTCTAGTGTATTTTTCTAACAAAGTGTATGCACGACTATCGTTTTCAGCTATCACGGGATCCTGAATACTAATCCCTATGTTTTCCACAGAGTAAAACGATCTTATTAATGCATCTAATTCCTCAATACGCTGTGAACAATCGCAAATATGAAAGTTGTTCAACTTACTTGTTTTTATATTTTCAGCAACAGTTCCGTAAATAACCCAACCCAGTTTAGTACATGCGGCAACTGGTTCGTTTATAGCTCCTTCGTGTATTTTACGTGGCGTACACAGATTCGAATAATTCAGGCCGATTAAAACTTTAGGTATCGCATGTTTGTAACTCAATATAGGGAGATGCTGCAGATGTTTATAACGTTCCGATAATTTTGTGTAATCCAGGGATTGTCTTGGCAAGTCCAGAGTACTCACAGTGCATACTTCCACAGATGTTCGTTTCATATTAAGACCGGCAATCTCAATTGTAAGTTTCTGGGAACGATTTTCTGTTCTTTCGACTCCACCTGTCCATCTTAAGCACAACGGATTTGGCACTCCTTTTACATTCAGCTCTCTCATCAGCGATTCTTCCATCAGGCTAACAGATGACCCCTCATCGATCAGGGCAAATGTCTCAATGTATTTATATGTTCCAAATATTTTTATTGGTATTATTTTAAATAAGACTTTACTATTTATCTCGCTATGGGAATTGACAATTTGCTCGCTATTATTTTCACATATGTTATTTGACATTTCTTGTTCGCACTCTCTCACAGTTTCAGTAAAGTTATGCAAAGACGGATGATGAAAGTATTCACAGCCTGATATACCACACTTAACTCTCTTCTTGCATTCCCCTTTGTGTTTATGGAGGCAATACTTACAGAGCATGCGTTCTCTCACAAGTCTCCACTTCTCTCCACGATCTAATTTCGAGTATTGTTCGCAGCAATCAACTGATTTGCAGTTGTTGTTACAAATTATGCATTTACGTCCCTCTCCGTGAGAGTGGACAAAAGCTTTGTTTTGATGTGTTTGGTTTTGACTTCTGCTCTCAACAGTGCTGTTGTTGTTACCAGTTGGGTGATCAACTGTTATACTACTTGCAGTTACACCTATGCTAAACATCCATCTGTCAAATTCGGACAGATTAGGATTTTTGTTCGCTTTTATTAATAGACTTTTTTGATGTGCCCACTGCATTTGATACGAAGCTGGTAATTTTAACAACAAATCATGGAGAAGTGAAGTGTTATTAATTTCATCAGTTAAATTACTGGCGATAATAGTTGAAACTAGACTACGTACGTTTACGGCGAAGGTGGTAAGAGAATTAAGATTATTTTCATTTACTTTTGATGTCATTTTTATCCGAGTTTTTATGGAATTTATTATTTTTTCAGGCTGACCGTATAACACTTTGAGAATTTCCATAACAGATGAAACATTCGAAGGGTGAACTAGCATTTGCTGTACGCTTTGTAAGGCGCTACCTTTTAGAGACTTTTGAAGTCGAATTAAGTTTTCTGCGTCAGTGAAACCACAAGCTTGAGTAGACCAAAGAAAGGTTGATGAAAAAAGTGGCCATTCTTCAGGGTGCCCAGAAAATGTTGGTAGTTCTTTGGGTACAGAATGCCTAGAATTTATTTGACTTTGAGATAAGTAGTGTGAAGTATCAAAGCTGTGAACGTCAAAACTAGGCGCCCTTGTAGTTGACGTTAGAACGTTGGCAGTGCTGTGTGTTCCGGAAATGTTGGTGCTAAAATTTGGTGCAAGTTCCTCGACTACTCGAACTGTTGGTATAGACGTTGTTGCTGGTACTTGAGAATGTGTAAAACCTGTTATATCATTCAATTCTGCAATTGATGGTGCTGGCTGTGAAGATCTACAATTGGTTATGAAAGTACCATCATTGGAAGTATCAAATCCGATAGATTGTTGAAGAATGTGGTTTCCATCACTTGGCTGAGGATTTTGGTTGTCAATTATTGCGCTTTCTCCATTATTGTCCGAAATAACTAATTCAGATGGATTCGAGTTGTCAACATTATCATTCGAGAACCTTGCAGTTTGGTATGTACCTTTTCCATTTTCAATATGTTTCGAATTTGCTGTTGATACATAAGGAACGTTCAAATAAATAGTCTCCTCAGGCAGGAATAATTCCTGCTGATATGTGTTGTTATTTTCTGTAAACGTCGAAGGTTGGCGATCATTTCCAGATACTAGCGAAACATGTGAATCCGCTGTCCTGAAGTTATCGCAAAGTTCAGCGTTTTCAAAGTTTGTGGGTATGGCGTTGTTAGAAAGGTTCATCTGAAATTCGTCCATCTCGCCATTAACAGAGTTAGGTTGGTGTTGAGTTGATGCAGGCAAAGCAATATTAGCTTGCTCCTCTAGAATTTTATATTTCATTCTAAGGTATTGTTGGTTAAGCTCTGCTTCAGCTGCAAGTTGCCTTTGTTTAAGACACCGCTCTTCTTCTAATCGTTGAAGTTTAAGGTTAACTGTAGCAGAGGTAGCATGACATTGTTGATTGAAATTTTGATTTATGCAACACTCCCGACAAATATAATTTTTGTCAACTGGAAGGAGAATGCAATTGTTGTGGACGAACTTGTTACAATTAGAACAACTCGTCATATTATTATCAGGGGGGTTATGGCACAATGCACATGGCTGATCGTGTTGATCTTCTGGATTCATTTTTACTTACTGCGACAGGCAAGTTCTTGTGGTTGAATATCCCGTAAAAAGAATTTTAAAAATGTAATCGGGCAAATCGGCCAAGCTAGCAAAATTCACTTGATTTTGAATAAAGCACGCAATGGTTCGCAAAACTATATTTTATTTAACAAATTGTGCTTATATTAAAATTCCTGTAACATTTACAAAATTAGGACATTAATTATCAAATACAGTATTAAACATACTTTTTAGTGTGAATGTCGCTAGAAATTTATGTAGGTTTTCTCCTTGGGTTAGACTATTCCTTCGCTCCAGTAAAAGTAAAAAAAAAATGGCGCAATTAAAGACGCTTCTTGACAGACAACAATTTTCGTTAAAAATAATTGATATTTAAACATAAATTTCCCATTACAGTAAATACTACATAATAACTAATAAATGTTGCCTCATCTTAATTATGGTTTGGCGATTTTGTAACTGGCCGTAACACTGGTGGTTGCTTTAATTTTTTCCTTCATTTCCGATACATAGACCCATCATTCGATCCATGTTTTTTTAAATACTCTTTTAAAAACACAATTATTGCACAAATTCATTTAAAAGCATAGCAATGGTGTAAATCGATTTGGTCAATTGCAAGGCCGTATTCATGCTCAACGGCATCAAATCACCAATTGTCATAATGGGTGGATTTTGCGACACCCTCAACATGATGAGTACCATTTTTTGCTCCGACACCGAAAGATCATACCACTTGCAATCGTATACAATGTCTGTTATATCGTCGTTCTAAAAAACAAAATTAAACAAAGAAAATATCAAAAACGTTTGAACGCGAACCACATTTAGACCACTCAACTGAAAGTTCCACCATATTTCCAAGGCCACAGTAGAGATACAAAATCACAAATGAATATACCAAAAACACTGGAGCCATCGGCCATACACCCAGAAACTGACAAACAATGGTGGAAATAATTCCCAAAGTGGCGCTAAAAATTTGCACAAAAATTATCCAGAAGAACAGGCTTTGTATAGTTTCCGTCATACTATAAAGAAAAGGAAATGGAAAACAAATTGCAATTTTTAAGATATCCTATATCGTAACACATTTACATTCGATACGATTCTTACGAAATATATTTCAGATGCCACCGAAAAATGTCCTTAAGCAATGGTTCTGACTTCTTTCGATTTTCGGAATATAATTCCATCATCTCATGCAACTCATCAAATTTTAACTGCAGGATATTTTTCATCATCGGTATATGGACAATGATTAAAATCACAAAGGTGTCATAGGCGAAATTGCCAAACGCCGAAAAGCAGATACAAGAAACGTGAAATATTCGATAGGTGATATTACCTTTAGCAGTGTTCGGATCGACACCCGGTACCATTAGTTTTATTATATCGATTTCTTCATTCAGCACCAAATAGTAGAATATGGGTATCGCAAAAGCCGCCACTGTCAAAATAAAATTGACTTGGAACAGGACAAAAATCGTACGTTTCACCAAGACCAGATTATTGTTCAATAGGTCAATATAGCTTTGCTGTTTGCATTCAAATTCTTCGTACAGGTTTTGCAATTCGGAACAAATGTACGACATTAACTTGGCATTCAAAAGGGCACTCATGTGTTTGGTAACCCCCTGTGTGAGAAGAGGGCTTGTCTGCCTTTTTATAAAATATGGCAACTTTCATCCGCAATCTCACCTGTACTCCAACTGTGATGATACACAAACTCTGCAGAATTATTGTGTACTTATTATCGATGAATACACCCACATAAATCGTGTAGAAATTGAATGAGAAAAAGCCAAAACACAAGATGTACATAATCGCGGTCAATGAATTTAATCGAAAATTTGGATCGAGAACATTTGCCCCAACCAATTTGGCAAATAATTGAATAACGTTCATTAATTTGGCAAAGCGTTCCGATGGTGTTAGATTTTGCTTTCCGGCCATGTTCGATGATGAGTGAGTGTCACAAACGGCGTGAAATTATTTAATGGAATGGAAGAAGTTTTAAAATGTGTAGCATTGATTGCAATAGTGGATTATTCTGTTCACGTAGACAACAAATGAGGAGGGGGAGGAGGTTCGTATGGCATTCAGTAAACAGGTGTATATAATTAAAGATGTTCTCTGGATATTTATTTTTAACCCCTTCCGTTGACAACTAAATCGCCGATCTGTAGAAATGCCAGATATGGGAAATTCTAAACAAATCTGAACACGATAAGAACATAGAAGAGAGAGGAGACGGAAAAAAAGTATTTCAGACAAAGCTTAAGGCCTTAAAATCTTAATAATGTTTAGAAATATTCTTTTACTGAAAAAGTGTACCGAATATTCCAAGACATCATATCATTACATCATTGTATATTACTTTTCATTGGTACAAAATTTAATAATATCGAAAATTATGTCGCCCCACTAAAATTTAAGTTTTTATTCCAAAGGCCATTGAAGAATGAGCATTTTCCACAATGGCAAAATTCTATATTTCGGTTGTATGATCATCCACCTTTGGGGTAATGTGTAATTCCAGAAATATATTATACGATGGCTTTTATATAGTTTAGGGTCACTTAATGTTTCCTGGCACCATCTGACATTTCCATTTGAATGTTTGCTCATTTTTTTAGCAGAAACGTACTTACAACGGTTCGACGTACGTACAATGACATGAATAAAAGATCTTGAATCATTTTCATACCTTTAGACATAGGTCATCACGATAAGAGAACATTGAAGTACATAAATTTTTGTACGGTGATGAGGCAGCATCCTATTTTGGTTTAATGCACTAGATGTCGAGGTTCGCTCTACAAACCGATTTTTCAACATGTAAATACGATGTTAAGTGCGACCTGGCCGAACGATTTATACCCTCTACCATGAGGATAACAATCAAAATATCTAAAATTAATTATGCCTTGAACATACCGAAAAATACGTGAGAAAATTATGATTAAAATTCTCAAAATATCTAATAGTGGCGCTACCGTTATATGGGACTATAATAAAACGGAGATAAATTTTGATATTTTTAGGTAGTGAGATTTGGCAGCCAATGAGAATACAAAATACCAAATTACAGTCAATTCACTTGACAAATTCGGTTAGAAAACATGTTCAAAATCCCAAAAAAAAAACCGAATATTGAACGGTACCGTTATATGGGGACTACCCTGAAATTTGGCCTATGCAATGAGAATCCAAAATACTAAATTACAGTGCGATCTCCATCGAGATTTTAACATACGTACAGACGGAAATAAATCAAAATAGAATTTTATTCCGATCAAGAATATATATATTTTGTGGGGTCTGCGGTGAATATTTTGAGGTGTTGCAACCGAAAACGAAGAATACCGATCGTCATATCTCGACTAGCTGAGTCGATCTAGACATGTGTGTCCGTCCGTCTGTCCATTATAATTAGTAAACACGATACAGGCCATAGTTATGAACAAATCTTCACGAAATTTTCTGGTCTCTCCAAAGGCCGCAATTATGGCCCAAACATCACGAAATTTACATGTTTTGATAAAGATAGGTCAGTATTTAGGAGGTCGAATGGACATTGACTTTTGTGTGAAAAATGACAAAATTTGTGTTCCCGAGAAGTTGATAGTATATCCAAGCGGAGTGGTTGGCCTTTAAATTGATACCAATTATATTGTAGTATGCACTCGGATGTGAGAATTACACTTAAATATTTACAGGTGCTTACGTATTCAGATATTATTTAGCAACCCATTACCACACTAGATGTCGGATATATAGCGCTGATCATTTTAAAATTTTCTATGAAGTTGTAGTTATGGTCAAGGACAATGCCTATAATTTTTTGTGATTATCTGATAATAATTTTGAGATGGAATGTACCGAAAACTTTTTTTGTGTTCTTCCGAGTCAAAATATAGACCACAATTATAAGCCAAACATCACAACACAACCCACGGCACAAGTAATTAGAGCGGCCGTACTGAATATTAGTTATATTCGGAAAATATGTTAGTGTAAGGAAGAGGTGTTGTTGACCTCTAATCCGGCAAGAGGATGTAAATATTATTGTCCATATCGGAATATATTGTCCAGCCTCTGAATAAACATCCGCAGAAAGTTAAAATTCCCTGATAGTTGTGTAGGCTAACGCATGGTCGGCCCCACTCCGCTCACTGTTTTTTACTTGTTTCGTCGGGAATTATTTAGGTTTGGTTACAAACTATTCATTTGAAATCTCAAATAGTTATTTAATAAATATAGAAAATAGACGTTAATTTAAAAATTCTAATCAATACTATGGTGTTTTTTTTTTTTTTTTTTTTTTTTTTTTTTTTGACTAGTTAATTATAATTTAACATCTATATTTTTTGGAAATAAATTTAGTCCACAATGCCTCATGTCTCATCCAGTTGATCGCATTTCTTTGCATTATTCCCTTAAAACTAAATTACTGTACAAATTCGTGTAAGAGCATAGCAATTGTGTAAATCGATTTGGTCAATTGCAGGGCCGTATTCATGCTCAGCGGCATCATATTACCAATTGTCATTGTCGGTGGGTTCTGCGACACCCTCAACATGATGAGTATCATTTTCTGTTCCGGTGCTGTGAGTTCATACCATTTGCAATCGTAAATAATGTTTGTTAGGTCGTCGTTCTAGTAAAGGCAAATAAAAGTAAATATCAATTCAATAAAAAATATAAAATGTAACCCCTTAATTCCAACTCAACTGAAATTTCCACCAGATTTCCAAGACCGCAATAAAGATACAAAATCACAAACGAATATAGCAAAAATACTGGAGCCGTTGGCCAAACCCCCAAAAACTGGCAAACAATGGTAGCAATAATGCCCAACGTTGCGGTAGAAACTTGAACAAAAATTATCCAGAAGAAAAGTTGTTGTATAGCTTCGGTTATTCTACCAGGAAGAAATGGAAATATATACAAATGCATACATTTACATTGTATCCGATTTGTGGTTCTTACAAAATATATTTTTGATGCCACTGGAATATGTCCTTTAGCAGTGGCTCCGTCTTCTTTCGATTTCCAGGATGTAATTCCAATATCTCATCCAACTCATCAAACTTCAATTTGAGAATATTTTTCATCAGCGGTATATGGACAATGATTAGAATCACAAACGTGTCATAGGCGTAATTACCAAACGAGGAAAAGCAGATACAAGCAATGTGAAATATTCGGTAGATAGTATTACCGCTAGCCGTTTTCGGATCAACACCCGGTACCATCAATGGTATAATATCGATCTCTTCATGACGCACTATAAAGTAGAACAACGGTATGGCAAAGGCGCTGACAGTCAACATGAAGTTCACTTGGAACAGGACATAAATCGTACGTTTTACCAAGACCAGAGTGTTGTTCAAATGGCCAACATAGATTGAATTTTTACATTCGTATTCCTCGTACATGGTTTGCAGTTCCGAACAAATGAAACGAATTAGTTTGGCATTGAAAAGTGCATTCAAATGTTTGGTAGCTCCCTGTGTGAAGTGGGTCGCTTTATTAAAAGATATTCTGTTCGACGAAATTTATCCATTCAGTAACTCACCTGTATTCCAACTGTGATAATACACAAACACTGCAGAATAATGGTGTAATTGTGATCGATGACCACACCCAAATACATCGTATAGAAATTAAATGAGAAAAAGGCTATAAACATGCCATAAATAAATGCGGTCATTAAATTTAGCCGAAAATTTGGATCGAGAACATTTGCCCCAACCAACTTGGCAAATAGCTCAATAACTTTCATGAATTTGGCAAAACGTACCGATGGTGTAAGTTTTATGGTTCCTGCTGCCATGGTCGATGAATTTATGGCATGAATTTCATTTCATTTTTCAGGGATTTCAAAATATTATGCGTTGGAAGTAATAGTGAATTTATATTTCTATTTAAGGTGTCAATTAAGGAGGTGTTCATTTTACATTCATTAAAAACATATTTATAATTATAGTTGTTCTGGGAATAATTTTCAATATCCTTCAATACAGTCTAGTGTCGTTGTGAAACATTTTTTTTAAATTTATAAATTATCCATATTGCGACAGCTTGTGGGGGAGGTACCAGAGATGATGGTAGCACAAAATCAATGAATAGTATATTTATTAAGATCTGCCAAGTTTAGACCAGACAGAATTCACTATTAGCATTATATGAGCCGCACATCGATTAACTTCACTCTTTGAACATTATTAAATTTAAGTTTGAACGCTACTTCGTTAGCGAATTTGGGAATTATTTAATAACCAATACCGACCATAATTAAAATTCTAGTATGTTCTCTTAAGGGTCCCATACTCTATACATCATGCTGTACTGCATTTTTCATTGTATGTGTAATTTTTTGAAAGTTTATTTATGTATGTGTGACACACACAATGCATAAGAATATCAACATAGTTTTGATTTTGAAAATGAAACCCTTTCAATCCGGTGAATTTTATTCATTTTCAAAGTTAACAGTAACTAATTTTGAGTGTACAAAAATAATAGAATTGTCACGGAATAAAAAAACAACTGAATTTACGACTAAAAATAAGATTTTTTGGACAAAAAATCGTTTTTTTGTAATATTGAGTGAAGAATTTGCCACACACTAGTCAATCACACACATATACAAAAGGGTTCATCGGCATGACGGCATGATGTATAGTGTGTGGGCCCCTTTACAGTACGTATTTCAAAAAGTGTCTCCATATCTCTACTCTACACACCAATTTTGGTAATATTTATTAAATATTGTACTCTTGTAATACTTATTTCGAAAAAAAATCCAAATTCTAAATGTAGCTTAACTCAAATCCAAATTTTGTACGAGTTAGTACACAACAATATAAATTTTTATAACTACCTACTTTAACAATCATAAGTACGAATTTCCAAAACACCGCAATCTTAATTCCAAGTCTCAGGATTCCAGCTCTATTGGTTCACCTAAATCCAAATTGTATCAAATTTAGTACCAATTAGTAAACATACGTACAAATGTCCATTACTACATACATCATGCAATCCAATGGCAATCTTATTGCCAATGTCAGGATTTCAGCTCTATCTGTTCATTCTAAATTCAAATTGTACCAAAATTTAGTGCCCTTTAGTACATTTCCAAAAATTCCCAGCACTATCGGTTCACGCAAAATCCAAATTTGGTACCATTTAGTACACATTTCCAAAACTTCATACACACCCCTATCCTACATTTCCAAATTTCAGCGTTGCAGCTCTATCGGTTTACCCTGATTAACTGTTGGTACCATTTTGTACACACTAGTACAAATTTCCAAAAATTTCTACTTTCTATTTCCTACATCCTACACCCAAACAGTGGCCCTAACTCCAAATTGCAGGATCTCAGCTCTATTGGTTCACCCAAAATTTAAATTGAACCAAATTTAGTACACATTAGCACGAATTTCTAAAGCATTCTACGAAACCCAATTCTACACCCCAAGAGTGATCCTAACATCAAATTCCAGGTCTATCGATTCACACAAATCCAAATTTGGTTCCATTTAGTACACATTAATACAAATTTCTAAAACTTTCTAGATAGCCCAATCCTACACCCCAACAAAGATCCAAGCTTTGAATTTCAGGATCCCAATTCTATCAGTTCTCCCATAATAAAAATTGTACCAAATTTAGTACAATTTAGTACCCATAAGTATGAATTTCCAACAACAACAGTAACCTTATTTCCAAATTTCAGTGTTCCAGCTCTATTGATTTACCCAAAATTAAAATTGTACCAAATTTAATACACGTTAGCACTTCCTATATCGGTTCACTCAAAATATAAATTGTACCAAATGTAGTTCACATTCCAAAACATCCTAAATAGCTCACTTTTCATATATTAATAGTTCGAATTTCCAGAAAAAAAACCGTTTGATACATCTATTCTACATTCCATCAGTGACCATCATTCCCAATTTAAGAGTTCTAGTTCTACCGGTACGAATTTCCAAAAACTCATCCTTATCTGACATCTTTTAGACCAAAAGTTTCGTCTGGGCTTTGACGAATCGTTATGTCAGTCAGTCAGTTAACGCATTTTATTACCATAGATACCCTACTAGAAATGTCCCAACAAAATTTCTAACCCATTGCAATGGAACGGTTCTTGTAAGCAGATATATCCTTTGCACATGTTGGAACTGTATGATGTTTTAAGATAAAAAGGCGACTTTAGAAAATTTATATCTGATGTTGGGTAAAAATTGTGTGGAATTGCTTTTGTTGGCGTTCTACATATATAAGATAAGGATAGGAATTTCGTACTGCAACTGTGAGAAATATACAAACTGGCATTAATATATGAGTATTATTATTTGTTTAAATATAATCCCAAAGAAATTCATAGACGTGGGTATCAAGTATATTAAAATATATTTAATTAATTAATGAGGAGAATCGATCTAGGCACGTATAAATATAGTAATCATCTTCAACATAAAATGCCTCCTTCCGTCAATTATCATTCGGCGGTATTTAACTCTGTTGACCCCGTAATTTAAAGAACGGAAATTGGATTCGAAGATGCTCTCAACTTGTTGCCTCTCACGCACTCAATCCTTTGAAAATGTGCCTGCAGGCTGGCATGTCCTGTCAAAATACCTTCCAGTCTGTTGATTTCCTTATTTTCAGGTTTTAAGATTAGCTTAGTCTAAATATATATATATATATATATATATATTTGTCCCCTTGTTCCCAGCCCATTGTTATTTCATTTTATTTTTGACATCTATAGCACCTCTGGCAAATCGCTTGGCTTTTTCATTGTCTATAAATCCTGTGTGACCCATATGATTCGCACAGGACAGTGTTGAGAGAAATTATTTAAGCATTGTTTTTATACATTCCAATGCAGTTTTGGATTTAACTGTTTGGGATGTTGTTGTCTTTACATAATGTTTCCTATCCGTATGAATATTTGTTGTGATACTATCACAGTCCTTTTGCCTTTTCAGTATACACTATCGTAATATGTTTATTTCAAACATAATGTCTGTTTATTTCAAAGATAATGTCTGATGGTGATTTATATCGGCTCACAAACTTTGCCCAACGTACTGGTTTGACACAATCGACCCACTCCCTCTTGTATCTCCCTTACAAAGGGCGAAAATGCTGAAAAAGTGTAAATCATATCACATCGTAATATTTCTACAAAACAGAGACCAAATCTGAAGAAGAGACTCATCGGCTCAACCAACCCTCAAAGGATTACATTTTTAAAATTTTTTACTCCAATATCAATTGAATGGAGCGTCCGCTGTTTATATCGAACCTAGACCACCCTTAGATCAAAATCATAAACATTATTAAAATTTCTTGATGAATCCTTTTTAATCAAATATTGTTAATTGCCATAAACGGGTTTTACAATATTTAATAAATATGTGATGGTAAATAGTAATCCATGCTTGTGCTTTAACATCTCTCTTTTTTGAATATATTTTTTCCAATACACTGTCTCAGCCATTCGATCGTTTTTTTTTTCAATTTTTTAGCATTACTTGTGTTTTTGAACACAATTACTGTACAAATTCCTTCAAAAGCATAGCAATTGTGTAAATCGATTTGGTCAATTGCAGGGCCGTATTCCTGCTCAACGGCATTAAATCGCCAATTGTCATAATAGGAGGATTTTGCGACACCCTCAACATGACGAGTATCATTTTTTGTTCCGATACCGAAAGATCATACCATTTGCAATCGTATACAATGTCTGTTAGGTCATCGTTCTGAAAACATAACATAATAATAAACAAAGAAAATATCAAAAAAGTCTACTTAAAAAAATCAACAATTTTACTCAACTGAAAGTTCCACCATATTTCCAAGACCGCAGTAGAGATACAAAATCACAAACGAATATACCAAATACACGGGAGCCATTGGCCAAACACCTACGAACTGGCAAACAATAGTGGAAATAATGTCCAATGTGTCACTAAAAATTTGAACAAAAATTATCCAGAAGAACAGAGTTTGTATCGTTTCCGTTATACTGCGAAGTACAAGAAGAAGCAAGTGAAATGGAAAACAAAAAATTATTTAAATATATATTCCGCATGGTAACTCATTTACATTCAGTACGATTCTTACGAAATATACTTCTGATGCCACTGGAAAATGTCCTTTAGCAATGGTTCTGACTTCTTTCGATTTTTGGGATGTAATTCCAACATCTCATGCAACTCATTAAACTTCATCTGCAGAATATTTTTCATCAACGGTATGTGGACAATAATTAGAATCACAAAGGTGTCATAGGCGAAATTGCCAAACGCCGAAAAGCTCATATACGAAACGTGAAATATTCGATAGATAATATTTCCTCTAGCAGTGGTGGTATAATATCGATTTCTTCATTCAGTACCACATAGTAGAACACCGGTATCGAAAAAGAGACGGCTTTGAACAAGAAGTTGGCTTGGAACAATACATAAATGGTACGTTTCACCAAGACCAGATTATTGCTTAGCAGGTAGATATAGTGTTGCTATTTACACTCGAATTCATCGCACATGTTTTGCAGTTTCGAACAAATGTAAGACATTAACTTGGCATTTATAAGTGCACTCAAGTGTTTGGTAACCCCCTGCGGAAAGTATGTATCGCTTTATTAGAAAATATGATTGCATTCATCCGCAATCTCACCTGTACTCCAACGGTGTAAGCTTTTGCTTTCCGCCCATGTTCGAAGATTACAAGTGGCACAAATGCTTTGGAATTATTGAATGTATGGAAAATTTTCAAGGTGTCATACCTTTTTATTAACATTGCCTTATT